ATCGAGTCCCACGTCGGGCTCCCTGCATGGAGCCTGCTTCTTCCTCTGCCTGTGTCTCTGCTTCTCTCTCTCCTCTGTGTCTTTCATGAATAAATAAATAAAATCTTTAAACAAATTTAAAAATCAGATTATAGAAAAGAGTACTTAAGTATGACTCCATTTTTTTCATTGTATATTATATATATAATGATTATGTATAGAAAAAGGACTGGAAGGTTACACATTAAAATAGTAACAGTGATAAACTGAAGGTTTTTTCTCTTTTATTTGCTTCAAAATTCTATCAAAAGCATGCACCATTTTTGTTAAACATTATTTTAAGCTACAAACAGAATTGTATAATGAAATTTTTCATGATATGGCAAAGCATGGGTTATGAAATTAGTTTGTTTGATATGATCTCAGCTAGGGAGAAAGCATGCAGAAGAAAAAGACGAGACATCTAAAAATGTGACTGTGATGGGGTGGCTCAATCAATTAAGTGGCTGACTCTTGATTTCTACTGGGGTTGTAATTTCAGGGTTGTGGGATCAAGCCCCACATCTGGCTCTGTGCTCGGTGGGGAGTCTCCTTGGGAATAATCTCACGCTACCCACCTCCCCCCCCCCGCCCCACTACACACTCTCTCTCTGTAAAAACAAATAAATCTTTCCTTAAAATTAGATTGTGGGAACACAGGAGATTTCTGCCTACTTAGTTTTCCTTAACTGTTTTCTAAATGTCTTTATATTGTTGTTTTTTTAATGATGAATCATGATGAAAACTTTTGTTTTTAAAGATTTATTTATTTATTTATTTATTTATTTATTTGAGAGAGAGAGAGCAAAGGAGCAGGTGAAGGGGCAGAGGGAGAGACAGAGACAATCTCAAGCAGGCACTATGCTGAGCATAGAGCCTGACAGGAAGCTCAATCTCATGACCCTGAGCTAAAATCAAGAGTTGGACCTTCAACCCAGTGAGCCACCCAGGCGCCCCTATTTTGCTTTGTTTTAAGGAAAAAAAGTGGCAATGGCCTATTGCTTGCTTACATTTGCAGAAGACTCTGTGTGACTTGTTCATGGCTAAATCTCTAGTTCCTGGAGAGCGCTCAGCTAATAATATGCATTCAAGAATTATTTACAGAATACATGAATGAGTACACGAATTAATAAATGAACAAAGAGTGTTAACTGAACAGGTAGAAGAGATAAAGCAGAACTCTTGGTCTCTGGTTTTTATTTGTCCCTTCTCTTCCCATTACAGTCTAGAAAGGGCATAATTTCCATAAATAAGAAAATGTCAAAGCCCAAGATGGGTAGGTAGATTGTATGAAGTTTCATCCTTGGCTTGCATGAAGTCCTTTCTAGCAGCTGAGAACATACAGTAGATGTTGTGGATTCTTAGGAGGCAGAGAGCTTGTAGAATATTGAAGACAAGCAAACAAACAACACCCGACTTTCCCAAAAAGTGGGGGAGGGGAAGATGGATGTAGTTAAGAGTGATCAACCATTTCTGTTCTGGGCAAGATTCTATCCCTATGCAGTTCTTGGAAAAAGGGAAAAAAAAACCCTTTGTTGGCACTTTAAAAAGGAAATTCTCACTGCAAGTCAGCATGGGTGTAGCTAGGGCAAGTCCAGCTGGACCTGCCTCACTTCCTTCTCCGGTAGCAATGAACATCTCAGAAAAGTGTGGCTGAAAAGAGCTGTAGGCAAAAGGCTCTGATTTTCAGCATTTGACAAAAGTGCCCTGGGAATAGCTGGGAAAACGGTAAAATTCAGAAAACTTATGTACAGTCTATCGCGAGTTACACCATTGTTGTATGTTCCAATGTGTAAAACAAAAACAACTTTATCAAAAAGAGAAAAACCTTGGAGCCTTAATCCTCCCCAAGTCCCTGTCCCCTAATCTAGCCCTGATCCTTTGAATAGGGGAAGCAGTCAGTCAAGCAGGAGAAGGGTGTACATTGCTTACCAAAGCAGAGGAGGCAGATGACTCAGTGTCACCAGTAACTTAGTTTCAGAAGCCCAAGAATTGGGATAAAGATCCAAGAAATTGTATGAGTCAGCTTCTTCCATCCACCTGCCCATGTGTATCCCCTACATCCCCTCACCACCACCATCTGATGTGCTAACCAAGGGCCACTGCCTGTTACCTGCCCCTCTCCTGTGCACATGCAGTAGAGCACAGGGAGGAGAGACAGCCATCGGAGGTATCCGTCTGGATGCCTCCCCTCTCTGAACTTACAAGAAATAAGGAGATTACTGCTGCCTACTAATGCTCTTGATTTGTTGGGAGAAAGCAGGCAGCTGGGACCCTTTGCACCCACCTAAAGGAGAGAGACTAAAGTTTTCACATGTTCGTGTTGAACACACTCATGTGCTCTTCAGGATATAGCGACCAAGGGCTCGTGGGAATATGAGCCATGCTGGCTTGATCTCTCATTACCTGCAGTGCCCACATGGATGGGACAGAAGTGAAATAGGATGCAAAGTGCCAAGACACAGGACCCAAAGGACCTGGACAATGGACTTCATCTCCATCACTCACCCTCACTCCTTCGTCCTTGTCACCTGCTCTTCTGCCTGTCTTCCCAATGCACCAAGCCCATTCCCATCTCAGGTCTTTGGCTCTTGCTGTTCCCTCTCCCCAGGATGTTCTTGCTCCTGATCTGTGCAAGTCTGGCTCCTTCTCAACAAGCAGGTCCCAGCTGAAATGACATAGCCTCTGAATACCAGGTTCCCAGGCCTGCTTACCAAACTACCAGCACCCAACCCTCATGCTCCATCACCTCACTCTGCTTTACTTTCTTTGCTATTTTCCTCCATCTCCTACTACTTTGTCTGACTGCCCCCCCTCCATCCCAGCATTTGAGGACCTGAAGAGCAAGGGACTTGCCTTTCTTGTTTGCCTCATATCCCATAAGCCTAGAAAGTGCCTGGCACAAAATGAAAGTTCAATTAACATCTACTGAATAAATGATCATTGGCCCTGAGAAAGGTCTCAATATGGACACATAAGGAAGATCTCACTCACTTAGATTATCCATGTTACATATTCCTTTCAGTAACTATGTGAAGCCTTAAAAGCTAAAGAAAATTACTTGAAAGTTTCCTAACTTGAAAGTGGTAGATTCCAGAAACTAAAAACAATGTTTCTCATTAGATCAAAAACTCCTATTCTTTCCATTGGAACAAGGATTTAAATTTTTCTTTTTAGAAGAACATTTTCTTTGCAAGCACTTACCTGAAACCCCCTTGTATAAAACTGATAAAAAAAACACAGATGCTTAAATCAAAACCACAGTGAGATACCACCCCACATCCATTAGTATGGCTACCATAAAACACACACACACATACACACAAACACACACACACACACAGAAAATAACAAATGTTGGCAAAGATATAGAGAAATTGGAAGTCTTGTGTGTTGATGATAAGAATATAAAATGGTACATAGGCTGTGGAAAATAGAATGGATTTCCTCAAAACATTAAAAACAGATTTACTATATGATCCAGCAATTCCACTTCTGGGTATATGCCCCAAAGAATTGAAAACAGGGTCTCAAAGAGACGTGTGCACACTGTTTCACAGCAACATTATTCACAATAGCTAAAAGGTGGAAGCAGCCCAAATGTCCATCAACAGATGAATGGAAAAGCAAAATGTGGTATATCCACACAATGGAAGGTTATTCAGCCTTAGAAAGGAAATTATGGCATGTGCAACAAAATGGATAATCCTTGAGGACATTATGCTAGGTGAAATAAGCCAGTCACCAAAAAGAAATACTGTGTGATTCCACTAATACATGAGGTACCTAGAGTAGTCAAAATCATGGAGACAGAGAGTAAAATGGCGATTGCCAGTGGCTGGGGAGTTATTGTTTGATGGGTGTAGAACTTCAGTTTTGCAAGATAAAAAAAAAGTTCTGTGGTTGGATGGTGGTAATTATTGCACAATATATGAATGTACTTACTACTATGAACAACATACTTAAAAGTGTTCACAATGGCAAATACTATGTTATATACGTTTTACCATAATAAAAAAAAAATTGAAAAAAAATCCACAGATGCTTAATCTGATTTTGGTAGGAGTGGAGGTAGGGGAGAGCTACATTTTCCTGACCTCCCAGTAGAGTGACCAGCTCATCCCTGGGTTAGCACATCCCAGGAACACCCTTAGTCCCAGGCAAACCGGGATGGTTGGCCACCCTACTTCCCAATACCAGACAAACCACTGTGATGCCCCTGTGCAAGGACCATGCAGCACAAACTCAAGGGTAACAAGATATGACTGTATTCTGTAGAATACATTTCCCTGCCCCTGGCTCCCCCAGTTTGACCCAGAAGGAACACATCCCTCAGCCTCAGTCCTGGAGGCAGCCCTGGCTGAGCAGAGAGCCATGTACACCTTCCTTGGTTGCTAAGGATCGACTCAAGCTCACTGTGCTGGGCAGAGGACAGGGCCCCCAGCTCACCCTAAGTGAGGGATTCCAGTCTAACCCTGGCTAGTGAGGCCCAGCCACCTCAGGGTCCCCTCCAAATTCAGCTCCCCACTCTCTGTCCCCATCAGACGTGAGTCCAAGCCTGGTGCTGGAGATGGACACACCACAGGGCCCCCACACCTTTATCTTGATGGGTCCTGGAATCCCTAAGCCTCAGGGATCCCTGACAGTCACCTGGGCCCCTGAACTCATGGTCCACAGGGCTCACCATCAAGGAGGCTTCACTAGGCTCCCTGCAAAGGAGCAGAAAAGGAGGGCAGTTTCTACCCCAAATCCCTTTGCCTCTGGGCCTCCCCCACCACTACGCTTAAAATGCAAGCCAAATGTGAATTCTGGGATCATTCACTACTTTCTACTTCTCTTTGAATACATTGACTCAGTTCTCATATTTTAGATATATCATCAGTCACAATTCCAAAGAAACAAAACTCTCATGCAATCTTGGATTGTTCTACCTCGTGACTTCCTCACCAGCAATCTCTTATAAAGAAGGGGACAGAGCCCAGATTTCAAAGAGTCAGAGAACCCAGGAGTCTTCAGCCCCATCCTGCAGCCGGTCAGCCCCCAGAAGGATGAAGGTCAGCCTCATTGCCCTGGTCTTCCTCCTCATTCTTGCTGCCCTCCACTCTGAGGCCAATGAAGGTGAGACCTGTTACTCTTATTCCTCTGAATAGAGATAGCACAGTGACTGGAGGCAGGGGGCTATGGGAAGGAGATAGGGGTGGTCCAGAATTGGCTACCTGCGGGTCCCTGCAAAACAGTATCTTTACCAAGGGTCTCTTCCCATTCCTGGTTGGGACTCGTTTCTGCCTCCTCTGGGGAAAGGAAAACCTACCTCTGAATACAGCCCCCCTGGCCCTGGGGATTCAGCAGAAAGAAGCTCCCTATTGCAGATACACGGGAGCCCACGCATAAGCAGAAGCTCCCTATTGCAGATACACGCTGGGACAGAGGAACCTAAAAAGGATCAAACTGTCTTCATGGCTTAGATAGGGTTTTACAACATGCTGATTGGTCACCAACATTTAAAAATCTGTATTTGTTTCTTTTGCAAATATGGAAGACCAAGCAGACATGAGCCTGAGTTTCCACAAGCTTTCACTGGGACTGATGTGGTGGGTGCCATCCCTTTAGACGGGGGTGCACTTCCAGGTCTTAGAAGCCCCCACTGACAGCACCATGTGCACCTGCTGTCTGCCTGGCCTTTGGGGTTGAGCCTGAGACTCCCATATCAGCCTTCCCCCCCTTCCTTTAAAATTTGTCTAGTGTGTCTATGGCATAGAGCTGCTCCTGGCATATAGTAAGCTCTTAATAAATATTTGTGCGATACTCTGAGCAGTAGCACCAAGTGATTGAAAAAGGCACAGCTCGGGATCCCTGGGTGGCGCAGCGGTTTGGCGCCTGCCTTTGGCCCAGGGCGCGGTCCTGGAGACCCGGGATCGAATCCCACGTCGGGCTCCTGGTGCATGGAGCCTGCTTCTCCCTCTGCCTGTGTCTCTGCCTCTCTCTCTCTCTCTCTCTCTCTCTCTGTGACTATCATAAATAAATTTAAAAAAAAAGAAAAAAGAAAAAGGCACAGCTAGACTCCAGGTGTCCAGCTCACTGTGCTTTCCACCTTAAACAGGCATGGTTGCCTCTCTGCAGGGGAGAAGATGGAACAGCGGGACCCTGGGGGGGGGGGGAGATTCCACAGGAAACTGCTCTCTGGAGATTAAGTTCAACCAAACTCAAAGATAGAGATACACTCAGTCTTAGGACTCTGATTTGCATCCCTGATAGCCCTAGAAATGATGGCCAGTTTTCAGGAATTTTGACAGCAGCTAGCTCTAGAGCTCTGTAATGCTTTCCTGTAATTCCCATTATCATTGTAGGCCTTCTCATCTACAGATGGGATGAGTGATACTTTCTCAAAAAGGTTGTTGTGAGGAATGAAGATAAGCCACATCTGGAACTAAGCCACACATCAGGCCTATGGCAGAGACTCAGTGAAGAGCACTTCTTTTTAATTCTTCAGAGAGCAGCGACACAAAATGGAGAAATAGCTGGCTTTACAATCAAGGAGATGTAGATCTAAGTTGAATTCATTCATTCATTCATTCATTCAACAAAAATATTCTAAAAGCCTACTCTTGCCACCCTTTCTGTAAATGTGCTGGACTACAGATACTCTCTCTGCTCCCAGGGAGCCTCAGTCTAGAAGCTGGTGTTATAACACCAGGCAGTTTGTGAACCTTCCTTGTCTCTTTCAGTCCTCCTGAACCTCAGGCTCTTTATCTGTTACGCATGGGTAATGAGGCCCTGATTTTAACAATCATCAATGTATAAATCAATACACAGTACTTGCCCCCTTGATATTTGCTGTTTTAAGGACACAGGTTCAGAAAGGGTGGGTGTCCTATCTGTAGTCACATAGCTTTCAGGAACAGAAACAAGGACAAATGTAGCTTTCCTGAATATAGTCAAGGCTCTGTTCCTTATAGCATCACAAGACCTTGAAGGAGGACCCTCTCCTATGGAGTGGACCAGTCCTGCCCTCCTGTAGCCCACCTTGGGCATCCATTGGCAATTCCACATGGCAACTCCTTCTCAGCATGTCTGAGAAGCATGAAATAATATTTTTCCAAAGCCCAAGCCCTAAGAAAACTCATTTGAAAAATTGGGAAAATGTGGAAAAGTAGAATTCTCTTGCAAGAATTAAAGCTTAACAATCAATATGGAGGTGTTACTGATTTAAAGGAATCCACATTGGGGATCCCTAGGTGGCTCAGTGGTTTAGCATCTGCCTTCAGCCCAGGGCACGATCCTGGAGTCCCGGGATAGAGTCCCACATCAGGCACTCTGCATGGAGCCTGCTTCTGTCTCTGTCTCTCTCTATCTCTGTCTCTGTCTCTCTCTTTCTTTCTCTCTCCCTCTCTCTCTGTCTCTCATGAATAAATAAAATCTTCAAAAAAATAAATAAAGGAATCCACTGACACATAGAGCAAAAGCAGGAAACACAGGACAGTTGGAATTTAAAGGTAAGATCGGTATTTTGGAAAACCAGGACAGAAGCATGTGAGGAGACATGCTCGGAGACAACCTGACAGCTCGGAGTTATAGCCATGTTGCAAGTACACTTAACACAAATCATATGAGCGGTGGTTGAAGAAAGAAGTTTTAAAAGCAAAATACATCCTTAAATGGGCAATTTCAACTGTGATTCCTGCTAGGAGATGTGAATATTCTGTTATTTGAACAATAATACTCATTGACATTACCCAATGTTTGAATAATTGTTACAGGTTCTAGTTCCTTATAAATGCTTTGGCAGAAGAACATGTAAATGTCAGACATGTACATGTCATTGGCTGCTGGGATATGGAACCAGAAACATTTGCTAATTCGTACATAAAATCTAAATTGGCAAAAGCAATATTAACTTGAATAAAAAAAACAAGTCAGTACAAGACAAGATATGCCCATTGTTAAAAAAGAAAATGAGCTTGTATGAAGGATTATAGACTCTAACACCCAATTTAAAGATGAACTTGGATATATTTTGAACAATTTGACCAACAGAATGCAAAATGGAAAAAAATGTTTCTACATTTGCAATATTTGTTATAACACAATGACAAAGACTACAAATGGGTAATTAATGTTTTCTGTGTTTTAAAAATTCATTTTTGAATGATCACTTTTAAATATCTTAAATATTAAGTATCTATAGTATTTTTTCAATTTTTAAATAATTTTTCTTGGCCATTTATTTTGTGTCATTTCCCTTTTGCCATATTTTCTGTTATTGGCTGTATCTGCCAGAGAACGTTCCACATGTTATTGAATATATAATCTTTTTTTAAGATTTTACATATTTATTTGTGAGAGACACAGAGAGAGAGCCAGAGACCTAGGTAGAGGGAGAAATAGGCTCCCCAGGAGGAGGCTGAAGTGGGACTCCATCCTGGATCCTGGTCCTGGGATCAGACCCTGAGCCAAAGGCAGATGCTCAACCACTGAGCCACCCAGGTGTCTCTGAACATATAATCTTGTCATAACTCTTAGAGACACCATTCATTACCTTTTTTTTTTTTTTACAGAAAACCTATAAAACTTTCAGTAGAACCATATCACAGAAAAGTGATTCACTGCTTAGAATATGGTCATGCATTATTATTTAGAAACATGAAAACGTCATAGAAAATATACAGTACACCTAAAACAAATACAATATTATATTGTCAATTATATCTCGATTTTAAAAGAAAGAAAACTTGAATAATTTATGAGTTAAGAATTGTCAGGAATTCTGATTTCTTATTCCCAAATCCTGAAGACTGTCAGAAATTTGAAACACTTCAACCAGAGTCACATCCCACCCTGGGGGAAGGGTCAGAGAGAAGTCAGGAGGAGCCAGCAGTGAGGAAGGAAGAGAGGTTTTATTTTTTTTTTTTAAGTAATCTCTACAACCAACATGGGGCCCTAATTCACTACCCTGAGATCAAGAGTCACATGCCCTACTGACCAAGCCAGCCAGGCACCCCTAGAGGAGGAGAATTTAAAAGGGGGAGGAGGAATTGCTGCCAGGGAGAGGCCAGGCCTTACTCCTTCCAAGGTTCTCTGGTTTCCTCCTCTGATACTCTGGTTGATAGAGATACAGGTCTATGCTTCCTTGTGGAGAAGCTTTCAGCATCACATGGCCCTCTTCCTTGCAGAACCAGTTAATGAATTAACAATCAGTCCATGCTGTTTGGCCTTCATCTCACGGAGAGTCCCACTCCGGTTTGTGAAAGGTTATCAGAGAACCGGTGACCATTGCCTCACCCCAGGGATCATGTAAGTTGGGCCACGCTGAGGGTGGAAGGGTGCAAATGTGAGAACCAGTAGGGCCTGGGAGAGAGAAATAGGGAGAGAAATAGGGATGGGAGTATGTAGGAAGTGGGAGGAGCAGAGGAAGAAACAGCTGAGCTGCAGCCTGGGGACTTTCCAGCCTGAGCTTGGCCACCAGGGGGGACATGAGAGCTGGTAGTGGGGTCTTCACAGAGTCCCTGGGCTGGGAGGTGAGGGGGGTGGGCAACAGAGTGGGAGTGTCCTTCTTTCTGTGAGCAGCCAACATTCAGCAGAGAGGGAGGTGGGAAAGCTCAAGCTGGGTGAAGAATGGGCTCCTCTCTGCCTGCTGACTCAGTTTCTCCTTTCTCCTTCTTGATCCACAGTTTCCTTACCCACAAGGGCAGACAGATCTGTGCCAACCCCAGTGATGCCTGGGTGCAGGAGTACATCAGACACCTAGACTCTCTGCCAAAGTGATCTGGAAGCAGTGGGGCCAGCATGGCTGAGGGAGCTTGAGAAGAGGCCACAGAGCCCCTTTCCTCCCCAACTCTCTCAGCCCCAGAAGGTCTCTGGGAGTTATCCTGCCCCAACCTGAAGCTCTTTCATGTTTTCTGTGCTCCCATTCTCTGACAAATTTTGCCCTTTCCTGAAGCTTTGCTTTGACACTTCCCTCTGGGACCTGAGACACTGTGGCCTCCAGACAGCATCTGTCTTCCCTTTGCAGGCAGCCAGGTGTTGAAATAAAGCCATGCCACAGAAAGGAAACCTGGTGGTTTGAATTGGTTCTCTCGCAGACAGCTGGTTTTTTCTTTTATTTTACAGACACTTCTACAATATTTACTATGTATCAGGTGCTGTTCTAGACTCTTCCGTATGAACGAAATAATTTAAATAATGGGATGATGGGAGCAGAGTTAGAATCAGGAGTACTGATGACAAGTGATCCCTAGTTCGGGGCCTTACATACATAAAAATATAGACAAACTGTTTGTTTGCTTGTAAAGTACAGAGTTGAAGTGCACACCTAACACACCTCATCATTCCCATCACCCAGGCTGGGAAAGATGCAGTTCATCCTTCCTTGAAAGCTCTTCTCCAAACCTCTGTCATCTAAACATTTACTTCTCTATCCCCTCAATACCTAGTTTAAGTAACACCTGTTCTCTGTACTCAAACTCACTCAGCCCAAACCCTGAGGTCCTGCAGTCTCTTCAGTGCTCCCTTGACCCTCATCCCTGATGCCTGGTGTGGAAGTGACTTTGGACATTTGAGCATGCCCCCACCACCACCCCAGTTAAAGACAGAGCCAGTCCTCCTTGGGGCACAAGGAGGAAACAGGAGGTAGGGTGGGAGGTACTCAGCTCTGCTCTGGGGGATGCTGAGGGTGATGCCAATCTGGCCATGCTTCACCAGACACCAACCAGAGAAGGGGCTCAGGGACACTGATGTTGTTCAACCCATGCCCCAAAAATCAAGTCTTGGGGAAGACATACTACAGCTTGCTGCCTCAATCCTAAACTCCTGTGAAAGAAGGATCCTATTTGACACCATAGGTCAGCGATCTCTGTACACCTGTGGGTTTGGTGGTAGGGTATCGAGGGCCATCTACTGTCAGGGGCGAAGTTAGGAAATCAACAGTCTATCTTTTTTTTTTTTTTTAATTTACGATAGTCATACAGAGAGAGAGAGGGGCAGAGACACAGGCAGAGGGAGAAGCAGGCTCCATGCACCGGGAGCCCGACGTGGGATTCGATCCCGGGTCTCCAGGATCGCGCCCTGGGCCAAAGGCAGGCGCCAAACCGCTGCGCCACCCAGGGATCCCTCAACAGTCTATCTTATGTGTCTTCACATTCCCCCAACAAGTCCCATTTCCTCACTTTACTGCTCCTCGCTCTTCCAAATTCCAATCCCTAGAGCCCTAATGTGCCTGGGCTTACTCTCACTCAAATCCCATCTGGAAAACAGTTCTTCACACCTCCTTTCACACTAAAATGTGGTCAAAACTTTGAGGGAGTTCAAATCTCAAAGTCAAAGGGACAAAAATCGGTGAGGAGGTACAGAGGGCCTGGGGTCTTTGGGAAGGTTGGGAAGGAGTGCAGGGAAGAGGGCCAGTGATGCCCTGATGTTGGAGGACCACCACATCAGTCAAATAGGCTGCAGATGGAGGTTGAGCAGCGGAGATGCAAAGGTATGGGACTCATAGCCCTATAGGTAAGCACAGCCTTCTGACCCCCCAGCAAAATGAACCTATATGCCTAGAGAAGGGAAGGAAGGAGCTTAGGGAAGCACCTACTATGTGTCAAGAACTGTACTAAGTGCTCTACATACACAACATCATTTAACCATCCCCACTTCCCTGTGGTGTCAAGCTCATTACTCCTGTTTTACTATAAAGTCCATTTTGAGCACAGTCTTCCTAATTCTTCTTGATCCATCCCTCTCTCTAGGTGATCTCAGCCAGACTTATAACTTCCATACTCCCCTATATGCTGGCAGATTCCAAATTTATACTTCTCTAGCCCAGGCATCTCCACTTAGGAGTCTAATAGCTTCTCAAAATTAGGTGCTCCAAACTGAACTCCTGAATGTCCCCAAATCTGGTCCTTCTTTGTCTTTCCAACCCCATCCTCAGTAAATGGTAGCAAGATCCTTCCAATGGTTCTGAACAAAATCCAGTGGTCATCTGTGATTCTGCTCTTTCTTTCCTACCTCATGTATCTTGTTCTTCATACATCCAAAACCTGAGCACTTGCTGCCATCTCTGCTGTTACTCCACCACTCACTTTCACCAAGATGACCAGAGTAGCCTCTTAAGAGTCTCCATGCTTGTAATCTCAACAGAACACTCAATGATCCTTTCAAACATATGTCAGATCACTCCATTCTCCTGCTCAAACCACCCCCTATGGTTTCCCACCCCAGAGTCAAAGTCTTTACAATACCTAAAAGATCCTGCATGATTTGCCCACCAGCCCCCACACCACCTGACCTCAGCTCCTACTTTTTCCTAGCTTCCTCCACTCCACTTCAACACCTTTCATGTGGTTCCCCAAACACAACAGGCAGGATCCAGCTCCAGGGTTTAATGCCTTTTCCTCTGCTAGCATCCTTGTCCTCCATCTGGTAAGCTTCCTTTAGGTCATGCTCAAATACCACCTTATCAGGAAAGCCTTCCTTGAACATCCTATAATATTTCTACACACACACACGCAATTCCTTATCCTCCTTCCCCACTTGTCACTACTTCCATAGTACTTACCAGCTTGCATTATACTATATACTTTTGTTTGTTTATTTTGTTTGGGTTTTTTGTTGTTGTTTATCTGTTTTTCTTATAATTAGAATGTAAGCTTCATGAAGGCAGAATTTTTTAAATATTTATTCACTGCTCTACTCTCAGTGCCTAGAGAGGACCTGGTAAGCATAGGAACTGTTGAATGGATGGAATGATGGGTGGGTGGATGGATGGATGGATGGGTGGATGGGGTCATTTAGGGTCATAAACAAGGCTAAAGAGGATACGGCTTCCAGGAGGGAATTTTTGGAACTCCCCCATCTTGAAGAGCTTCTTCCCAGCTGGAGGATAACCACTGATGACCTTCACAGAAGAGGTTCCAGAAAGTAGAGAACAATGGCAATTCATTCTGCCATTCAGATGCCATTCTCCTTAGTTATCTGGGATGCTTGCCCCTGCAGGGTGCTGAGATGAATACTGAGTGTCCTGTGAATTGGAACTATAACTGCCATGGGATGTGCTTCTTCTTCAAGCTTCCCTCCTCAGGAAATAGAATCTCCATTCTCCAAACTACTTAAGCTGAAAACAGGAAGTCATCTTTATTTTTTTTATTTTTTTTATTTATTTATGATAGTCACACACACACACACAGAGAGAGAGAGAGGCAGAGACACAGGCAGAGGGAGAAGCAGGCTCCATGCACCGGGAGCCCGATGTGGGATTCGATCCTGGGTCTCCAGGATCGCGCCCTGGGCCAAAGGCAGGCGCTAAACCGCTGCGCCACCCAGGGATCCCAGGAAGTCATCTTTAAAACAACTCACCCTCATACCTGCCCCCATCCAATCCATTAATAAATTCCTTCATTCTGCCAAAATCCCTCTCAAATCCATCTACTTTAGCTCCTCCACCACCACCCTAATCCAAGCCCTTATCCACAAGACCTCATGATGTGTCTTAAAAGCAGATGAGGATTTGGCAGGTATATAGAATCCAATCACGCATCTGAGAATGGTGCCCGGTCAGGATGATCATGAAAATTCAGAATTAAAAAAAATAAAGAAAGAAAATTCAGAATTCAACTATAAAGTTGCTGAAGAAAGTCAGCCATAACCGTAGCAGGGGATACAAGGATACAAAAAGTCTATCCACACAGATCACAGGCTTTGAAGCATCTTCAGAGCCAGAGAGGATGGTCATAAATGTCCTAACGAATGAAAGAAATTACAAAATCTAGCTTGGCCATGAGGAATGTTTGCTATACTCTCAGTAAAGGTGCTGGCTTCTGTCTACACAAGTAATGCAAAAGAATTAGAACCTAGAAGCCACCAATCCATTTTAAAGGAAGTGGACTTTTCGAGAGGCAAATCTTGATTGCATCGAATCTATAATTCAGTTCAGTAGTGTTCCTGCATATGAATATTTCCCTTTCCCCAAAGCAAAGTTACTCTTTCAAGAGGCCTCAGGACACTTTGGGGGAAGCTAGCAAGAAAATTTTCACCATTCACATTTGAGCAGTGATTAATGGATCCTCCTCAAGTATACTTATCCTTCATATATTCAAGAATGTCTGAATCTCAGGGGAACCTGAATGGCTGAGTCGTGAAGCATCTGCCTTTGGCTCAGTTCTTGATGCCAGGGTCCTGGAATGGAGTCCTGCATTGGTCTCTCTGCTCGGCGGGGAGTCTGTTTCTCCCTCTCCTTCTGTGCCCCTTCTCTCTCAAATAAATAAATAAATAAATAAATAAATAAATAAATAAATAAATAAATAATAGTTTTTAAAAAAATAAAGGAAGTGGACTCCAACCCTCCTATTGTCATAGAGTTCTGCATACCCAGTCATGGTGGAGTGGAATCATCCTTATAGTGTGCAGGCCCAGGTCTCAAGTCCTTTTTGGCCAATAAGCAAACTCCCCGCTGCTGGGATGGTGATTTGGTGAATACCATAAAAAACTGGTCTATTAATCTCAATATGTTTAAGATAATAACACTGTACCCTAGTGGGTAAGCCACAGAATGGTTAAAATCAAACATAGATAGGAAGCTGTAAACTCAATACTACAAAGATTAGGAATGTGTTTGCAATCATTGGAATCACCTATATTATATGGAAATTCAAGTGTTTATATTTTGAATAGAGTGAATTAGAGTCCATGACAGATTATCCTTGTGACTGCAAAATAAAGGGTGTAATTAAATCATTTATTTTGTACTTGTGATTCTGAGTTGAGAGATAAAAGAGAATTTGCCTAAGTTAGTGGAGAATATTGGAATGTTTAACACACCTTTATTTTCCTTATCTATAGGCTTAATTTGTTATTTTTACAGGAGTGAAGTACTTCAGAAGGTTCTGAGTGTTAGATCAGGCATGTAGAGTACTTTAAAAAGTTCAATATATTAAGAGCAGCTTAAATTGTCTACAAATATTTCATCAACAAAGTTGGTAAATGAGATCGATTGTTTAAGGGCAGTCTATTCCACTTCATTAAGCATTATGCAAGGGCCTCTTAAATTTTGCTAACTTTATAAGTAG